GAGTGGGAGGAAGAGGGGGAGGGGGGGAGGAGGAGGGGGAGAGAAGGCGGCGTGGTCGGTCATCCGGTCATGTATTTTTTTTTCTTTTCTTTTCTATTATTTTTCTTCTTTTTTTTAATTAAAGGGAATTATCACAAGCACAGGCCGGATGTGATATGATTCTGTGTAATTAATTTTTTTTTTTTTCTGCTGAAATCTCCCCTACGTTTCCGGTCGCTGATTTCCGGTGTGCGGGAGGTCAATCGAGACAATAAGATGAATGAAAAACAATAATAACGATAATGATAATGATAATGATACTACTACTACTACTAATAATAATAATAATAATGATAATGATAATGATAATGATGATGATGATGATGATGATGATGATGATGATGATGATGATGATGATAATGATAATAATAAAAATAATGATAATGATAATAGAAGAAAATAATGTAGTGGGGGGGGAGAGGAAGAGTAAGTAAAGCAGAAGTAAGTAAAACAATAAGTAAAGAGAAATATGATAAAGGGAAGATTAATAAGTAGAAATACTAGTAAGTAACAAATACAATAAACAAGAAATATGTAAGTAAAAAGTGTAAGCAAACCATCTCCCAAATCCAACAAGCCTTGAAAAAGAGAAAATAAGAAAGAAAGAAAGAAAAGAAGTGGAAGAAAGAAAGAAAAAAGAAAAAGAAAGAAAGAAAGAAAGAAAAGTGGAAGAGAAAAAGAAAGGAAGAAAAGTGGAAGAGAAAAAGAAAGAAAAGTGGAAGAGAAAAAGAAAGAAAGAGAGAAAGAAAGAGAAAAAAGAAAGAAAGAAAAGTGGAAGAGAGAAAAAAAGAAAAAAGAAAGAAAGAAAGAAAGAAAGAAAAAGAAAAAAAAAAAAAAAAAAAAAAAAAAAAAAAAAAAATATATATATATATATATATATATATATATATATATATATATATATATATATATATATATATATATATCATCATCATCATCATCATCCTCAGAAGGGCAAACGACAATAAAATCTGAACACAAGAAGCAGAAGGCCTTCTCCTAGGCTGTGAAATTCCAAAATATTCCGCAACACGTGACTCATTTCGAGGCCTTGAATCTTCGTAATTATTCTAGATTGCAAGAGCTGATTTTACAATATTTTTTTATTGTTATTAGTATTATCTTATAGTTATTGTAATTTTTTTATTATTCTAATTTTTTATTATTAGTAGTATTGTTATTTATCATTATTATCATTGTTATTATTATTATTATTATCATTACTATTATTATCATTATCATTATCATTATATTATCATTATCATCCCTATCATTACTAATATTACCATTAATTTCATAACTATTAGTATCGTTATTATTATCACCATCATCCCCCCCCCCCATATCTCGAAAGACGCCGCTGAAACGACCACCTGTTCACGACGGCCGCCCAACCACGCGACAAACTCCCTTCCTCGGTTTCCCCTCCTTTCCCCTCGTGGGTTTATCTCCTTTGTCAGAGCGCCACGAGGAGGGAGGTTGGGGGCCCTCGTCTTCCTGGCTGGCGTGGCGTGAATGAGGCCCCTCCTTCACACGTGGCTTGGGGGGGGGGGTGAGGGAGGGAAGGAGGGATGGGGGGGGTGAGTGAAGGATGGGAGGGAGGGATGGTAAGGAGGAAAAGGGGGAGGGAGGGAAGGTAGGATGGATGGGTGGGAGACGGGAAGGGGAGGGAGTTAAGGGGGGGAGGAGAGAAGACAGAAGGGAAGGACGAAGAAAGGGAGGGAGGAAGAGAAAGAGAAAGAGAGGGAAGGAGGGAGGAATCGGAAAGGAAAAGAGTGAGAGAGGGAAGATAGAATATGTATATATATGTATGATCTTTAGTCACAACACTTATTTCTAATTACTTAATTAACATCCAAACACCATAATAAACAAAACAACCTCACACAACCCCACATATACAAAAATAACGCAAGACAATACCACCATTACAAGGACCTGAACTAAAGCAAATAACTCCACATTGGATAGCGGATGTCACTGATATTTTAGGATAATTTAAGTCAATCTACAGTCAGAGAATCCAGCGCCAAGACGTATCGGGAAAGACGAATATCTTCTTCATAAGTGCAAAGATGGCGCGAGGAGAAGGGAAATCGATAAGACTGCATGGCCAAGTGTTTGCCATTTCTTCCCTTTGATTTCATGCATTGACTGTCATGGCGCGATGGTGCTTTGATTAAAGAGGCAGGAGAATTTGCAAGCACCGGGGAACCGTTTCTTGCACCGACGGGGATTTATGAGACAAGTTAGGCCATTATAATCTTTGTAAGACATTTTTTTTTTTTCTTTTTTTTTTCCTCCACCCGGCACCCTAACGTTCGCGAAAATCTCGTTAGTTACTGTTTATTTGTTTATACAACATTTTTTTATTTAATAGGTGAGCGCGGGTATTTCCATTACATATTTCATGGATTTGGAATAAACCTTCTAAAGTTTTATTCTGTTTCTCCCTTTCTTATTTCCGTGTCTCTCTTTCCCTTTTTATGTTTCTTTTTCACTACCCGTCTCTATGTATATCTCCTATCACTATCTCATTCTCTCTGTCTCTCTCGCGCTCTCTCTTTATCTCTACCCTTCCATTTCCCCCCTCCTTCCCCCCTTCCCTTCCCTTCCCCTTCCCTTCCCCTTCTCCTCCCTCTCTCTCTCCTTTTTTCCTCTCACCCACACATCCATATTTTTCATCTCTCTTCCACCCCTTTCCCTTTCTCTTCCTCCCGAGGTCAAAATAAGTCACCCCTACAATTATCTGATCAAAACACCCTTTCAAAGTCGGACTCAAGCCCCCTAAGTGTGCTGGATCTGATGAAGCTTCGGAGCGCATCGTCATCCGGGACTTGGTGCTAATTAGAAATCGTTGGTCGGTGTTTTTTTTTTTTTTTTTGGAATTCGGTCTCGTTTTATCTCGTCTTATCTCGTCTGTTGGAGGAGTAGGAAGAGGAGGAAGAAGATGAAGTGGGGGGAAGAAGAAGAGGAGGTGGAGGAGGGAGAGGGGAAGTAGAGGAGTAGGGGGAGGAGGAGAGAAGAGAAAGAGAGAGAGAAAGAGAGAGAGAGAGAGAGAAAGAGAGAGAGAAAGAGAGAGAGAGAGAAAGGAGAAGAAGGGAGAGGCAACTAGATAGTGAGATACAAAGAGAGAGAAAATGAAAGAAGTAAAGAGACAAAGACAGACAAATAGAGGCAGTAAGACAGAAGCAGAGAGAGAGAGAGAAAGAGAGAGAGAAAGAGAGAGACAGACAGACACAGAGACAGAGAGAGAGAGAGAAAGAGAAAGAGAGGGAAGGAGGGAGGAATCGGAAAGGAAAAGAGTGAGAGAGAGAAAGGAGAAGAAGGGAGAGGCAACTAGATAGTGAGATACAAAGAGAGAGAAAATGAAAGAAGTAAAGAGACAAAGACAGACAAATAGAGGCAGTAAGACAGAAGCAGAGAGAGAGAGAGAGAGAGAGAGAGAGAAAGAGAGAGAGAGAGAGACAGAGAGACAGAGAAAGAGAGAGAGAGAGACAGAGAGGGAGAAAGAGAGAGAAAGAAAGAGAGAGAGAAAGAGAGAGAGAAAGAGAGAGAGAAAGAGAGAGAGAGAGAGAGAGAAAGAGAGAGAGAAAGAGAGAGAGAAAGAGAAAGAGAGGGAAGGAGGGAGGAATCGGAAAGGAAAAGAGTGAGAGAGAGAAAGGAGAAGAAGGGAGAGGCAACTAGATAGTGAGATACAAAGAGAGAGAAAATGAAAGAAGTAAAGAGACAAAGACAGACAAATAGAGGCAGTAAGACAGAAGCAGAGAGAGAGAGGAGTAAGAGTAGCCCCCCCCCCCCCCCCATATCTCGAAAGACGCCGCTGAAACGACCACCTGTTCACGACGGCCGCCCAACCACGCGACAAACTCCCTTCCTCGGTTTCCCCTCCTTTCCCCTCGTGGGTTTATCTCCTTTGTCAGAGCGCCACGAGGAGGGAGGTTGGGGGCCCTCGTCCTCGTGGTTGGCGTGGCGTGAATGAGGCCCCTCCTTCACACGTGGCTGGGGGGGGGGGGGGGGGGGGGGAGGGAGGGAGAGGGAGGGAAGGAGGGAGGAATCGGAAAGGAAAAGAGTGAGAGAGGGAAGATAGAATATGTATATATATGTATGATCTTTAGTCACAACACTTATTTCTATTTACTTAATTAACATCCAAACACCATAATAAACAAAACAACCTCACACAACCCCACATATACAAAAATAACGCAAGACAATACCACCATTACAAGGACCTGAACTATAGCAAATAACTCCACATTGGATAGCGGATGTCACTGATATTTTAGGATAATTTAAGTCAATCTACAGTCAGAGAATCCAGCGCCAAGACGTATCGGGAAAGACGAATATCTTCTTCATAAGTGCAAAGATGGCGCGAGGAGAAGGGAAATCGATAAGACTGCATGGCCAAGTGTTTGCCATTTCTTCCCTTTGATTTCATGCATTGACTGTCATGGCGCGATGGTGCTTTGATTAAAGAGGCGGAGAATTTGCAAGCACCGGGGAACCGTTTCTTGCACCGACGGGGATTTATGAGACAAGTTAGGCCATTATAATCTTTGTAAGACATTTTTTTTTCTTTCTTTTTTTTTTCCTCCACCCGGCCCCTAACGTTCGCGAAAATCTCGTTAGTTACTGTTTATTCGTTTATACAACATTTTTTTATTTAATAGGTGAGCGCGGGTATTTCCATTATATATTTCATGGATTTGGAATAAACCTTCTAAAGTTTTATTCTGTTTCTCCCTTTCTTATTTCCGTGTCTCTCTTTCCCTTTTTATGTTTCTTTTTCACTACCCGTCTCTGATGAAGAGGGAAGGAAAAAACAGGATTAAGAGAGAGTAAAGGGAAAACAAAGAAGAACAAAAACAAAAACAAAAAAGGTGCCCCATTATTCAAATAATTTACGTGCATAAATTTCACTTTGTTTCTAATCTTCTCTTTTCTCTCCTTTGCAGAATTTCGACCCTGAGAATCCACACGACAACAACAGTAAGTATCCTATAATTTCTACCTTTGTAAATCATTGCAATAAGCCAACAAGAACAGTAATAATTTAACAAGAACACAAACATCGGTGATAGTGAAGATAACTATAATTATAACAGCAATAGTATAGCAGTGATGTATTGCTATTTACATGATCATTATTACCTGCATAATTACCCATACTTTTTATCAAATGGAATAAGAATTATTTCGAATTTTTCATTATTCATTCATTCACGTTTTATCGTTATCAAATTCATATTCGATGTAAGCGTTCATTAGCAAAAGCGCCACGCCAGGGAAGCAACAGGTAGAGAGATGAATGGGGAGAGAGATGAAAGGAGATAAAGAGAAAAAAATAGATAGTGAGTGAGTGAGTGGAGGAAAGAGTAAGTGTAAGAGGAAGAATAAGAGTGAGAGAGAGAAAGGAGAAGAAGGGAGAGGCAACTAGATAGTGAGATACAAAGAGAGAGAAAATGAAAGAAGTAAAGAGACAAAGACAGACAAATAGAGGCAGTAAGACAGAAGCAGAGAGAGAGAGAAAGAGAGAGAGAGAGACAGAGAAAGAGAGAGAGAGAGAGAAAGAGAGAGACAGACAGACACAGAGACAGAGAGAGAGAGGAGTAAGAGCAGTTCCCCCCCCCCCCCCCCCGTTTCCTTCTACCGGGGGCGACGAAGGAGGCGGCGGAGGCGGAGGCTGTCAGCAGGTAATTGAAGCGCGGGCCAATTCCGCCCCGAAATGGCTTCGTGATTGCGCGCTCTCTCGGGATTCGATCGCTCTCTCCTCTCTCTCGCTCTCTCTCCTCTCTCTCCTCTCTCTCCTCTCTCTCCTCTCTCTCCTCTCTCTCCTCTCTCTCCTCTCTCTATCTGTCTGTCTCTCTCTCTCTCTCTGTCTCTCTCTCTCTCTCTCTCTCTCTCTCTCTCTCTCTCTCTCTCTCTCTCTCTCTCTCTCTCTCTCTCTCTCTCTCTCTCTCTCTCTCTCTCCTTCTGTATCTGTCTCTCTCTCCTGTCTCTATCTGTCTGTTTCTCTTTCTGCGTTTCTCTCTCTCTCTATCTATCTATCTATCCATCTATCTATCTTGTATGTTTATATATATGTACACAAGCCCTTAACGCCTTAACATAGCTGCCTTGAGTTGTTTACACAAAATCTAATCACACAAGGAAGAGCTTTATTAATGAAAATTCAATCAGAACTCATTCCGAAATTAATGCAGTTTTCATCAGAGTTGTGTTTTGATTTTGTGCAAGATGTATTGACTGCAATTTCAACAAAAGGAAAGAGAATGTCAACAGGAAAATAAATTCGGCAGAAAAAATAATCTCGGGAAGGAAAGAATCTCTTCAAGCAAAGAATCGGAAAAGGAAAAAAAAGGGAATTGGAATCTGTCTTTGGATAAGAACGCGATCGGCTTTTGTTTTTTTGTTTTTTTGATCTTTTGTTTTGCTTATTGTTTTATGGCATGAGTTGGTTTGCCCAGTGATTTTTTTTTTTTTTACATATTTAGGGTAAATAAAGCTTTTTTATCAGCTTTGGTTTGGCAAAATATAAATCCGATTTAAGCCACGTGATAAATACATTATTCTAAACTACATTTATCTCCTAATTAATTAATGATTAAATGATACTAATTGGTACTAAGTGATTAATGTTTTTAAGATTTTTTTTTCCCCCACTTTGTAACCGGTCTTTGATACATAACAATACCTAAGTAACTTTCATTATTATAACGATAACGTAAATGCAAGAAAATATAGAATTCCTCAGCATCTAATAACCTTCGAGCTAATAATAAAAAAAAATAAAAAAAAAATCGATCGATCTATAAAATTCAAATTACTCGCTTGTATTAGTTCATGAATATTTAATTTCCAATAAAGGCTTAAGATTCATTTCTTTTTTTTTCTTAACCAGGCTTATGTTTCCTTGCTTTACGACTATCGTCTTTTGTTTTCGTAAAATTCGTTATTACTTTTTTTCAGTTACTACGTTTAGTTAATCTTATAATTATTACCTGTTTCTTGCGCTTTATACGTCGTTCATGATATATTAAGCGACCAAATATTAATGATAATAATGATAATAATAATAATAATAATAATAAATCATAATAATGATGATGATAACAATGATAATAATAATAACAACAACAACAACAACAATAATAATAATGAATAAATTGATAAGTAAATGAAGAAAGAAATCGATCATCAAAATAACTTGATATCGATTTTCTTTCTTACTAACCGATCTTTTTAAGCGTCCTGGAAAAAAAAAGATTAGTTGCCACAGAAATTAAAATCAGCATCTGCCAATTCCGAATTCAATTTCCAATAGACGCAATTTCCGTCGAGTGAAATCTATCCAGAGTGAGATTACTTTTCTTTTTTTATGTTTTCATTTTTCTGTCTCTCTTTTTTTTTCCTTCTCTGTCTCTCTTTCTCTCTTCCTTCCTTTCCTTCTGTCTTTCTTTTTGTCTTTCTTACTTTCTTTCTCGCTGTCTTTCAATCTTTCTTTCTTTCCTTCCTTCTCTCTTTCTTTCTGCCTTTCTTTCTTTTTCTCTCTTTCTCTCTTTCTTTCTGTCTTTCTTTCTCCCTTTCCTTTGGTCTTTTGGTCTCTTTCTCTATCCCTCTCTTTCTTCCTCTCTTCCTCTCCCTTTCTTTCTCTCTTTCTTTCTTTCTTTCTTTCCCCCAAATTCCTATCTATTTCCTATCCTCTTTCATCTCTCCTTAAATGAAGGATCTCTGGCTGTCGTAAATACCTTCTAGCTCCTTTTCTCAGACGTCCTTCGTAAAATGCCTTCGACCTTTCCTTTCTAGAGTAGGATACGTACCTGTCGTATGTGTCCTCCTGAATCTATTTTTAGACATCCTGCAGTAGAAAGATACATGCCCTCCTGAGTCTATTTTTAGACGACCTGAAGAGGGATACATGCCCTCCTGAGTCTATTTTTAGACGTTTTAAAGGACATATGCCATCCTGATCCTATTTTTAGACGTCCTTCCGAAGGATACATAGCCCTCCTGATCCTACTTCTACACGATACATGCCCTCTTGATCTAGGTTACTCGTCCTGCAGGAGGATACATGCCCATCAGATCTCCCTCCCACACGTCCTGCAGGAGGATACATGCCCTCAAGAAGGATACCAGCTTCCCGATCAGCCATAAATCCGAAACGAGACGGGCGATCGGTCGTATATTTAAATCAGGCGTTATCTCTCGGCCTCCGGAGGGCGCGAGGTAGCGAGATCCTGCGATCCGATAGGGCGTGGGGAGGGGGGGGGCGAGGCTGGTGCTGCGGGCGTGTAAGGTACGGGCGAGGGTGTAAGGGCGAGTGAGACTGGCTGGCTTTGCGGGCGTGTGAGATGGTCGGATGGACGGGCGTGGGCGTGTGAGACTGGCGTTGCGGGTGTGTAAGACAGTCGGATAGACAGTCATGGGCGTGTGAAACTAGCATTGCGGGCGGGCCAAGCAGGTAGACGCGCACGGGGCATCGGCCTGGCTGTAATCAACGCGATGGTTGGAATTAAAGGATATAAAGCTATTAACAAAAACGGGTTTAGGATCCGGGTGCCTCTTGACTCCGGGAACACGATCTCGGGAGGCTGGGGGGGAGGGAGCCATGCGTGCTGAGGGGGGATGGGGAGGAGGGAAGGGATGGGAGAAAGAGTAGGAGGGGGGAGGGTGGCGGTGGGAGGAGGAGGGAAGAGGAAGATGAGGAGGAGTAAGGGAAGGGAAGAGGAGGAGGAGGAAGGAGGAGGAGTAGGAGGGGTGAGGGGAGGAGGAGGAGGAGCAGGAGGAAGAGGGAGATGAGGAGGGAAGAGGAGGAGGAGGAGGAGGATAGGGGTAGGAAAAGAAGGAAGGAGGAAGAGGTGGCGGAGAAAGAAAAGGATTATAAGCAAAAGATCGAAAACGAGACGAATAAGGAGGAGAAGAAGTAGGAGAAATAAATAAATGATCCTAAGAAAACGAAAAGAAAAAAAAAACGAAGAAGAAGAAAGAAGATAGAAGAAAGAAAGAAGAAGAGAGACACAAGACAACAAAGAAGTCCCCATTCAGAAGATAAACAATAAGAAGCGCCTTAGCCCCCATTCCCTTTGAGTTCTCGCCAGTCCATAAATAACACCGATGCATAATTCACAAATCGTCTTCCTGTTTCTGTTCGATGGCGTTTTCCAAGGCTTGATTTGTGCCGATGAATATGCAATCTCGAAGCAGGAGAAGGATGACGGAGAGAGGGAGAAGGAAGGAGGGAAGGAGAGGGAGAGAGGAGAGGGAAGGAGAGGGAAGAAGGGAGAGGGGGATGAAAGAGAGGGAGAGAGGAGAGGGAAGGAGGGAGAGGGGGATGAAAGAGAGGGAAGGAGGGAAAGAGAGGGAGAGGGAGAGGGAAGGAGGAGAGGAGAGGGATGGAGGGAAATAGAGGGAGAGGGAAGGAGAGGGAGAGGAAAGGGAAGGAGAGAAAGAGGGGGAGAGGGAGAGGGAAGGAGGGAAGGAGGGAAAGAGGGGGAGAGGGAGCGGTATGAATGGGGAGGGGGGAGAAGGAAGAATGTAAGGGGGGAGAGGGACAAACAGAGATTAAAGGGAAAACGAGAACAAACGGTGCAAAAAAAAAAAAAAAAAGTCTTAAGAATCTCCATCCACACATGTCACTCCCCCCCCCCCCCACACCCCAAAGAAAGAAAGAAAAAAAAAAACAATGGCAGGGCCTTTATCTTCTCCCGCTCTTCCCTTAAAGTGTAGCGAGCGTGGGCGTGGGGTGGGCGTGAAGGAGGGGAAGGAGGAGGGCGCCCCTGCCTTGTAAGTGCGTGGCGGATCGTATCACCCTCCTAATGGTCCACTTTTTTTACGGACAACTTTTCTGCTGCACTTAAAAGAATCCACTTGAGATCAGATGGAGATTCACACTCTTCAAAAAAAAAAAAAAGTCTCGGGGATTTCACTAAAGACCTTGCAACCACGATTATCACGCTGGCAACACGTAAGGACCGAGAGAAAGAGCG